AGTATTTTGGTGGAGATCAAACTCAACCTGAGGTTGCGATTAAGATGAGGTCAAGGGTTGAGTCATAGTCAGATATGGTGCCTGAAAGACCGAGCTACGTACGTAGGTGTTTGATGGGAAAGGGTCTGCGAGGAGGATATCGGGACCACGGAGTGGATGGACAAGTCAGACTCGCTTACGCCAATGCTCTGCTTGAATTGAATTAGAGCAATAGCGATATTGACTCTAGATTGCGGTAAGTAAAGGCAAGTAGGAATTTGCTCTTAATTTTAGAAGGGTAAGGTTGGTAAGCAGATAAAAAAACATAGACAATGTCCTCGGGCTATATCTTGAAACACTTCAGACGGAGAAACACAACCATTACCACTTTCCCAAGAATCAGCGGTCTGAAACCACATATAACACGCACGGGTAATATCTTGATGATTGAAGTAAGACGGCGCTCAAACAAATTCGAAATAGAGTATATACGTGCAGTCCCCACGAGGCTCACGGGCAAAGCATATTAGAGGGGGAAAAAAGTTACTATAAACGAACCACCTGGGCACATGGTAACACAGATCTACCTATCATTCACAGAACCAGTGATATTAGCAATCAACCGGTGAGAACCTTAGTGTTAGCCCAAGCCCTAAGTACCTGGACAGGGTATAATTCTGGGCAGCTCGGAATCCGAAAACCGACTCGGCTAATTCTTCTTTTTACAGAGTCCATTTTGCACAACACTGTCATGTGCTTGCAATTAGTGGATCTCATTAGACACGGGGGGTTTAAAGTACTCCGTACATAGCCCGAAACTATCGACAAACTAAGCCAAATAATGCATCATAGGTCCGTCTTCTTCACCGAGAAACGTGTGGGGAAGTAAATAATAAGCTGATGAGGGGTAAAAGGGGGAACGGAGAGACTGTCTCACCGGGGAAACATATGGAGTAGAATATCCATTTGGCAATTGTGGACCACCAAGAAATGATTTGCGATATGAACAAGCCAATCCGATCCATAAAGCAATCAACGTGCAAGGAGAGAATTAAAAAGAAAACAAAACAATTATGGACTGATAAGCTGTTTTAGTAAGATTGGTAACAGGGAGGCTTGGCAGGATTTGCAAAACGGCCGAAAATAGGTGCTACTTGAGCGAATACACACATCCACGACGTACAATGGGCACTGTTGCCTAGGTTGTGGGACACAGTCTGCGATAACTGTCAATCCCTGCCCTCCCGGCCAAGGCGGGAGTATCAGATTACACAAGGCTTGGCGGAAAATCATCATCTTGGCAGCACTTGGCGAGCATTTAGGGGTTTCTCCCTCGCGTCCGGCGGGATGGGGATTTCTCTACAATCTTGTATTTTGGTCAGGTGGGCTATGCAATGCATAATTTGGTGGCAAAAGTGGAGTGGAAAGGAATCATGCAGATGGTTTGAAGTGTTGCTTATTGATTGCTAGCTTGCCGAATGGGGCAATACGTATGCTTCCCAGAAGCGAAAGACGTAATAATGCAGACAAATTTTGAATGAAAAGCATATGGTAATTTGGAAGCGCCGAAAAAAAACACCCCTATCCATTTTCCTACCCTGTTCTCATGACAGGGTGCCCGAACTTCCTAATTGGAGTCGCTCAATTGACGAAGATTGCAAAAGAAATGAAAAAAAAAGGAAATAAAACACATAGCGAGCTCAATGGTCAAATAGTTGCTGTGATGGTGGTATATCGTGAAATATGGATGAAAAAAGAAGACCGAAGTGACTAGAAGGGCCAGTGATAGAGCGTCTAGTTCTGCTTCTTGCCATGACCAAGGTAGAGGAAACCACTAGGAAGGGTGGCGGTAAGGTCATTGAGGGAGACTGAAGAGTTGGTAGAAAGAGAGCTATTGGTGCGGGCACGGCTGGTAGGAGCCAACACAGGGCTTTCCTCAATTGAGTTGGTCTCAATCTGGGGCTGGTCTTCCCAGGCGCGGGGATCCGGGCCAGATTCGATGGGAGACAAGACGAGGAACTTGTTGGCAGGGTGGTAGGGGCCAGACTCAGCGGCAGAGAGAACCAAGAAACGGTGGGTGGGGGTGTAAGTGTACATTCTGAGAAAGCTTTTGAAGGATTTGTGTGGAAGAAGTAACTCGGTTAAAGACGGGATCTTTGGTGTATTGAGAGAAAGTTGAGTTGTAGATGGATTGTTTTGGATGAAAGTGGGAAATCTCAGGGACTTTCGACCTCACTTATATAGTCCAGGCCAAGATAAGCGAAGAGGGACCCTGGAGAATGAGGGGCATGCTGTATCAATGATAAGCCCGAATCACGCCGATCCAACGCATCCAGCACATCATATCTGGGCCGGGGGTACGGAGCAGTGGATACGCGGTCATGCAGTCAAGCCACTCCCCGCCATTATCGCCCATTAAACCCATAAAGGAGAGTCTCAAACATGCTGGAGAGCTTCACATGTCTTGGCTGAAAGAAGGGGGATCAAAGCCAAGAGTTCACTATTGGCCGACTATCACCCTTTCTTTTTCTGAATGCTTCGACTTTGCCTCTCTTGGCTCTGGCATGGTCGCACCAGAGTCGCCCATGGGCGGCTGACAGTCATTCCCAGCAGCCATGGCAAATATGTTAACTTGGCAAATTAAGCCCTGTGTCATTGCGCAATATGCTTTGCCTAGAAAGACCCGTTGCCAGCCGAAACTCAAGGACCTCGGAAGATCAACAGCCAGGATGAGGGGCTAAGAGACGAAAACTGATGGCTTTCACAGGCTCCCGTATGCATCCACACCTATGCAGTGTGTGTGTTAATAATGATTTCGGGTGGGAAAGCCTTGCACATTCCGAGTTGTTTCGTCGATAGTTCTCTTCGCCAATCATTCTAACCGCTGCGTGGGCGCTAGGACCACTGGTTATGCTGGGGTATTTTTGATCTCCCCGGCCTTTCTCTCAGTGGACCCGATAGCGCACACTTCGCTACCCTTTTGGGGGAAAAACACGAAAGTGACATCATATTCCAATTTTCCCCAGAATCTGAGAATCTGAGAATCTGAGAATCGAGATTTTGTTAACCGAACTTGTCCAGACTCGGGTAATTGTCACTCCGGGGCATCAATAAGCATGTGAGAAGCAGATTGTTTCAAACTGATCTGCTGGGTTTTTTCGAAACAAATAGGGGGCCATTAGCATTAAAATTAGGAATAGAAGTTTTTGTTTCCAAGGTTCCTTCTTCAAGTTTATTTAACCTTCAAACTGAACCTTGGGAACGTCTATCACGTGGTACAATTCTCATGCAATAAAGTCCAAACATTAATGTGAATAATTCGCGATTGAATTTTTTTTTCCATTGTCTATAATTTTTTTTTAGAAAAAAAAATTCAAACCAACAGCGGCAAAATAGACTGCTCAGCGACTGGTCTCGACCTGTCGATTGTGTCGCTGTGCCTTGCCTTGCCGCCCCTAGTTTGGTGCGTCTTTACTCGCTCGGAGTTAATATCCAAGTGGGCCAGCGCCTCAGCAATGGGAGAGCCTCAGTCGAACCCATATGAACGCTACTGTGCCATGACTGAGGAACTTGGTGCTTGTCACCAGTGGTTAGCGCTCTAGAACCAATTGATAGGCTATCATTGATTTCTTTTTTCCCCTGGGCCCTGCAGCACGATCGCACTAGATCAGACAAAGAACGCCTCCTGGCTAATATCGCACCCGGCACTTGGCCAACACCGACCCTACTATACCACAGCACATCTGAATTTTCTTGGCTTATTATCCTTTACTCGCTTAACTTCAAACTTATTTTTAAGAAAAAGCCTTGTCACCATGCAGTTTCTCGCATTTTAATCGCGCAGAACTTGCGGCTATCACCAACTGCGCCATAGAAATGAGCCTTATTCGCTTACATCCACAAGTCGAGGCGCATTGCAATAGAGTCAATGAAGTCACCTCCTGCCATATGGAGACTGACTTGGGTGGAGTCTTGTCTGGAAGGCCACCTTCTTGAATTTCGGTTGGTTCCTGATGCTACTTTCTATGGTCTGCCTATCTAGTTCTGCGGCACCACATCATGAAGGTCTAGAGCCAAGACTGTCTGAATTCTATGCGGGGACTCAGGGTCCTCATTGGAATTACATTGAATATCCTAAGATACGGGATTCAAGAACAGTCAACATAATCGCACTGGCGTTATTCAGTTAGTCACACATCCTGCGCCGTCCATAGTGATGCGCACACATCCTGCGAAAGCTGTGGCAGGTGCCTTTCCCAGAGTATGAGCGATGCCTTTAGGGTTGGGTATCAGGATCATAGAGGTTTGTCAGATGGGGCAAACTATGTTCCTGATCCACGTTTCGGCCGCAGCATTGGTCCTATGGGGGGCCATCTGGAGAGGGGTCAATGTTGGTTCTCAGAACATGAGCCCTAACACTGGCTGCAGCGCTTTTAGAGTGATGTCAAGTGCTCCTTGCAATGTGCGGTATTTGGGGTTTGCATCGGTAGTCATGCTTAGGGCATCGGTCGCCTTGACCAACCCCTGCCGTTGGCGAACCCCATATCAATAATCGTGACTCTTCCCGGAGGCACACCACACTCTAACGGCCCACCTACCATAAACTCTGTTTTCTGTTGGTAAAAGCATATGCCCTGGATATGGCGCATGTGTACACCATTTTTGTGCCCTCCATCACCTTCTCTTTGACTGCGCAACAAGTGATCACCGAGTTACTGCCTGCATATGGCGCATCTGGATGTATGAGCTACAGCGCTTGTGAGAGACGGAAGGACCGAACAGTTTTTGTGACTGTTGATGGTGTGTTCATTTTCATTTTCTTCTATTGTGTTGCGCAGTCAATTCATTTCTTTTGATGTAGTCAAGGAATACTATAAAGCTGGGCATTGATCCCCTTCTTGCCTCTCATCACATCAATCAATATCTAGAGCTTAAGACTTCCTTCGAACGCAAGTGATCTTCAATTCACGATACCTGCTTCTACATCCTCTGCAACTTGACCTCTTCGCTCAATCGTCAATATGTGCTCCATCTACATCTTCGAATACGCCTGCGGTTGCAAGCAGCAAGAAGAGGGCGTGGTCCCCTGTGCTAATCAAAACACTCCTGCCTGCAAGGGTGTTAAAGAGCAACCTCGTCAACGAGTCGGCGTCCGTTGCGCTCGTCACGGTGGTTAAAGTGGCTTCTGATGTGAGTTACATCTTTTCATATTTTGAAGCAGATAGCGCTACACAGGGTTTGGCTAACAAGATACTCTAGGCACTAAATGACTGGGGGCTGGGGCCGTCTATGCTGTCATCGAGTGGTTGGCTTCCCCGCCTTGTCTGTGTCTGCTTCAAGATAGAAGAAGATAACACTGTATCACACCTGCTATTTGAGGGCAATCTAATTTGTTCCCTCGCATCGGTTGTTCTGGAATTTGGGTGGACACTTTTCTATGTCTGGAATTTCGGACTCTCGTTTTGAATCTTTTGTGCTTTTCCTGTCGTTATTTGCCGGTGTTTCTCTATGTTGATCTGCCTATCTACGCATGCTCGGATCTTCCTCTCCTTAGACAATCCAGTCTCATGGACGAGTCAAGAGACCACAGAATTTGAGTTTTAATACGCACTCCATGATGATTTCCTGATTTCTTTTTGCAAATGTTTATATCTTTTTATATCGCAATTGAGGCCTCATTTCAATAGCCGATGCATGCATGCGGATTCCAGTACAAAACAACGATACCAATCAAGAGGCAAATATATCCAGCTTTGTAGAACTTCATGGGCTATGATAATAGTCTCATGATCCTCGTTAATCCACTAGATTCCACTGTCTTGGTACTTACCAAGTAGTAGCTTAAGGCATGTGTTTCTGCCGGCGGCTTTCGCGGGTTCAAATATATAGGCTAACAATACAGCAGATGGGATCTAGTCTCTTCGTGCTGTATCATATCCATGGTCGTCTAAGTTTAAATCTGATTGACCTACCTAGAAGATCTTCGGCATACCGCATTTTCACAAACCCAACACAACCAATACGGCTCATCTCCGTTGTTGGTGGCAATAAAGTTTATTGGATTATAAGACCAATACCGGATACCTGAATTAATCTTGCAAGGAGAAGTGTGTGCAAGATGGGGGCCAACAAATGGGTATGGCGCATGTGCATGCTTATCCATTTGTAGTAAAGTAGGCGCAATTAAAATCTTCAAACAGTTAAAGTGCTCCGGATGTTGGGAATTACTGAGTCCCCCCCTTCTATTAGTGGGGTATGTCGGCCCTTTAAAAGCACCGCAGGACTTTCTCTTGGCCTCCTGGAGAGAACACATAAATGGCAAGGCTGTCATAGCGGTCTAGCGAGGATGTGACTATGTGACGTTACTGTCGGTAAAAGTCGGACATACGGAAATTTACTATTGGCGGGAATGGGCTTTGGCCACGTTATGTATACGCGAGTCATGCATCCTATGGTGTCCATTGGACACTAGATTGTAGAAACGAATGCCCTCGGGAACTAGTCACATTAGAGTTATAAAGATAAAGGCGCGTGGAAATCGGTTCCGTCCTTTGATTGTAGGACTGTAGGACAAAAATCAAGCCCGGCTTGCAAAAACGAAAGGTCCTGCCAGAGGACATCGCGCACGAACTGGTGCGTGGTCGTGACCTGTGAGGCTTCCCGGGTGAAACCTGGTCAGCAGGTTGTAGGGCATGCTAATTAGACGCGGCTACGGTCTCCGAGGTACAAGGTAGGCGATAGGCTGCACAGACACCTCGTGGGTTGCACTAGTCCCGCATGTAATTTATATCAGCTGATTTTAAGTGCCGAATCGAGTAATATCTACGACCTGGGATTTGCTGGTTTGCTGGTTTGTTAATGGTTAGTTGTCTCCAGGGTTGGCAACAGACACAGGGGGTTCGCCCCACGCGGCGCAGACCACACAAAGTTCTCTTCTTGGCCAATCTGCATTTTGTTGGCGCTGTTCCTGGTTAAATCCAGCAGAACAAGTGGGGTATGTAATTTGCCCCTCAGATTACCTTGGGGGTGACCAGGTGGGATGTCTTCAATCCTGACGGTATGGGACCAGAGTCTGACTCGGACTATCGACCGTCTTCGCCTCTATCTGAACCCCCCATAGAAGAAGGTCGTCTACAAGTTTCCAACCTACCGGATGTGCCCCATCAGATGTACGACACCGTACGGGGTCGCCAAACTCGCCAGGCTCCGATACAAACCAAGCAGGGCGAAAGGATCGCATCAGTCAAGTCACATTCTCCCCATCTATTCGGCAAGAAGGTAGAAACGATAGAAGTGGCCAGTCACAACGCCACGATGCGCAATTTTGCACTCAGCAGTGTTTACTCCGGCTACAAACTGGCGGTGCTCTAGACAATAGGTGCCCGAATGTGACACTCCATTGACAAAATCAAGATGATCTCAAACATCCTATCAATGCGGAGGATTTACTGCATATATTGAAAGTTCAACTAGACGAGAACCTTGACAAAGATTGCACGCCTTTTGGAACATGCGGGTCATACGGTGCGCTACTTAAACTTACATGCGTCGCTTATGATTATACAGTCGTTGGAAAGGGAACGACTGCCGGACACTGGGAGCAAGTCTAAGAGTTATTCATGAGGATCTTCGACGTGCAAATCTTATTTGGAACCATGAATTCAACCGATATCAAAACGGTCGCGATCAGCGAAGAGAAAATCAGACCGGACAGAGTCACCGGATGGAAATGATGGAAAGCGCTTACGTATTATGAATGAAATGGCCTCACAAAGTTATTAGCGGGCGCATGGCGCGTAATGAAATGTCCTATCCACAGGTCTTCGTTGAACATTGCTTCATATTAGTCCGTAGTCGATATCGATGAATGTGCCAACTGGCCAGAATGTCATCATGTATATCACGTGGTGATACCGTCACGGACTCCTCAACCTCCGATCTCTCCTATATCAAACCATTAAAAGCTATAACGTTGCATATGTGATGTCAATCGAAGTCGACTGGGCAGCTGCCACTTCTGGCCCGGACGGGGAAGCCCTGGCAGAGCGAATCCGGTCTTTCGTGCACGACAAATTCCAGGAGATCACCTTACCGCGCTTTATTCGCTCGGTCCAGGTCCACTCCTTCGATTTCGGGACCATCGCCCCGGATCTCGAGATAAAAGACATCTGTGAACCGTTCGCAGATTTCTACGAGGAAGACGACGGGGATGCCGATACCTCTGTCGCCTCAGAGGAGCTCATGTCCGAGCTCCACGAATCTCCATACGAAGACGACATGACCTTCAATCCCACCGCGCATAGTCTTCATAATTTTAGTCACCATCCATACCCGGGCGAAGGTTTCCAGCCATCTGCGCTTCGATCCTCACTAGGCGACCACCTCAACCCGCACTTCATGCCCCGCGCCAGTACACCCGGAATTCCCGGCGGAACGTCGACATTGGGATATCACATGCGGTCTCTGGGTGGTCTATCAGGCACCCAGACACCCCTCGCTGCCGTAGCAGGTGGAACTTCATTTGCGAGCGGATGGTCGGACTCGGGTATGGGTGCCGGACCCAGGTCCCAAGCAGCGCGCCCTACTGGCGCACATCACTTCGCCGAGCCAGACCTGGATACCACCAACTCTGCGTCCCGGCCCTCAACCGCTAACACACCCCCCTCCCATCCTTCCCTTGGCCACACCGGCAGCAGCGGGTCAAATCCACATACCAGCGATCCCACCGACGCACAACCCTCAATAGAGATATCAAACGATCCCGCGGCCGAGGATCAATCGTTCCCTATCCCGCCGCGCATGCGAGAGCGCCGCCCAGAGGATTTCCAGGTGCTGTGCCATGCGAAGTATGCTGGCGACGTGCGCATGTCCCTGACGGCAGAGATCCTGCTTGACTACCCAATGCCCAGCTTTGTGGGCCTGCCATTGAAGTTGAACGTCACGGGCATCACGTTTGATGGGGTTGCCGTCGTTGCGTATATCCGCAAGCGAGTGCATTTCTGTTTCCTTTCTGCGGAGGACGCAGATGCTCTGCTTGGATCGGAACAGTCCCAGGGTAGTCAAAATCCCAGTGATGATGGTCGGCCTAGGTCTGGGGGCGATCAGAAGGAGAAAGATCTGAAGCGACAGGGCGGGTTATTGCAGGAGATCAGGGTGGATAGTGAGATTGGTCGCAAGGAAGATGGGAAGCAGGTTTTAAAGAATGTTGGCAAGGTTGAGCGGTTTGTGCTAGCACAGGTTCGAAGGATCTTTGAGGAGGAGCTCGTATATCCTAGCTTTTGGACATTCCTAGTTTGAACCTTTGAATTGTGCTGTCCAGCCGTGATCAGCTGATTCATATATTATGTACATTTACGAATAACTTATGATCTCTAGGCATGACGATTCCTGGCCTAGTCCTCAGTTCACAATAAAGCAACTGAAACCAACAGGCTATTTAATATGAAACGGGAAAGTTGATTTGAATATGACATGTGTTGTAGAATCAGCACTCTGGATCCCAACGAAAAATCCTAAAAGATATCTGCTAGTACATGGAAGGGGATGCAGCGAGAGGTTCGACAGCGATTCTCGCATTTCCCACTACATGAGAGTAGTCCATATATCGAGAACGAGTAGTTATGCACATTACTTAATCCAGAATGTGTCGAGTTATTTTGTTGCCGAAAAGGCTCCAGCTCCCGTGACAGGGGACGAGGCCCTCCATTCAAAGCAAACGTAGAAAATGTGCGCAAAGTCCGAGCTTTGACAGTCTGCGTGGAGGGATCGAACAATGCAACCATTTTACAGGTCCTTCTTGTCCTTCTTCTCGTTCTTGTCGCCCTTTTCGTTGGAAATCTGGTCACCCAGGCTGTGGTACTCGCGGGTCAGACCCTCGCACTGCTTCTTGAGAGTCTCAATATCCCGATCCTTGGCATCAATGATCTCCTTAAGACGACCGATCTCGCCGACTGAGCCAGCCTCTGCGATACGGGCAGAGTCCTTTCCACCGGCCTTCTTGTCGCCCTCGAGGAGACGAACGCGGTCCTCAAGGCGGAGGGTCTCAAGAATCATGGTATAGGTGCGGTTGAGGATCAGGGAGAGGAACAGAGTGAATCCACAGAGATACATGTTGCGCTGCGAGTAGAACTTGCGGGCCTGAACCTCCATGCGGTCGGTACCGAGGTGGGCAGCTCTGTTGATGACGGTGGTTAGAGGCTTTGCTGTGATATTTAAGGATTGGCTACTTACCCCATGCCGGGGCCGTCCTTAGTGAAAGCAGACAATTCCTGCTGCACACGGTACACACGGTTGACGGAGTCGATGAACAGAATGAGGATGAAAATGAATGTGATCTGAGGGGCCAGGTCAGCTGTTTGGCCAAAAATTTTGGGATTCAGAATTGGAAATAATGTACCTTCAATCCATATTGCAGCTTGGCAATAATTGGGCTCTCCGAGATGAAAGCAAACAGCTTGCGCTTGATGGTGTGGGGGAGAGGTATGACGAGGGCCAAGAATACAACCATCTCGAACACCAGAAGGAGGAACACCTATATGAGAGCATTTTGTTAGTTCATCAACAGGGACATGATCTGGAGACATGACGTTGGCAGCTTGGGCTTGGTGGGCAGTTTCAGGCACTAGGCTGCAGCGATTCCTGAGGAACGGAACCACAAGAAGTAACTTGTAAAAGAACTTGTCGAGCTTACAAGGGAGTAGTAGAGAGTCATCGTGTCGTGTATTATCGATCCAACGACACTTGAAATCGACTTTCTGGCCTAATCAAAAGGGGTGGGGTGTCGAGAGCTCAGAAAGATAGCTTAGGGGGCAAAGGTAAATAAATGAGAGAGGAAGCAATTCTGTGGTGGACAGACACAAACACAGAAAAACTAAAGCAAGAGAGATTATTTGGACCAAATAGTTGAAGCAATTGAAGGTCGGGGAGATCAAGAGACGAGGTGGTCTTATGGGGGAAGTTTTTCAGGTTCGGAGGAAGACGTCATGGCCTCGGAGGCTCCGCACGTGATGCTGTCATCAGCCCTAATTAGGATTCTAGAATCTGTGTACTATTGACTATTGAGTTCGTTCCTGAGATGATTTGACTTGCATATATGATGTTTTGGTTTGAATTTAAATTAGATACTCCAGTTTCTATCAACATGTTCAATAACATTCTTGCTATGTATAAGACTAAAGTCTAGTATATGTCGTCATGACAGCGGGGATCTACAATCTATGTAACTTGCACTGATTAAACTTCGAAATGTAATTCATCAGCATAATTTGGTCAACATTTCTCCAAATTTGCATGCATATTTCTCGGCCAAATAGAACAGAGTGATATGCAATTATGTATATCGTATTCGGTGAGTCACCGGGAAAGGATTCCCCTCAAGCGGGGAAGTTTCGGCTACTATGTAAGTTAGCCTGGGGAGCTGTCAGCAGTCGAGAAAGGCGTCATCTGTGATACAGTGTCACAAACCACACCAAATTCTGCTTTCCCCCTCAAAGACATGGCGAACGATAACCTGAGCACTGAAGAGATCGAAAGAGCATCACAGCTTCTAAGTGCACAAGAAAAAGCCGTTGCTCTCTTCGAGGAGATCGAACGCGATTTGATCCGCCCAGGAATCACCGAAAAGACCCTAAATGCAGAAATCTACCAACTAGGACTCGATCGCTATGGCATCAAGACCCACTGGCACAAACGAGTCATCCGCAGTGGACCAAACACCTTGAGCCCATTCAGCGATAACCCTCCGGATCGTGTCATTGAGCCTGATGATATCCTAGTTGTTGACCTGGGGCCGGTCTTTGAGGCCTGGGAGGCTGACTTTGGGCGCACTTTCGTCCTGGGTGATGATCCAAATAAGAAAAAGCTGCGAGATGCCCTTGAGCCCATCTGGAATACAGTCAAGGCAAAATATCGCGAGAACCCAGATATGTCGGGCGACGAGCTATACAATATTTCCTGCCAGGTTGCGAAACAAGACGGTTGGGATTTTGGCGCCGATATTGCGGGCCATCTCGTTGGCTCGTTCCCTCATGAACGTATTCCGCGGGATAGAATCTCCCTCTATATCGCCAAAGGAAATAATGATTCAATGGGTCTGTCGGGCCGTGATGGGTTCAAGCGTCACTGGATTTTGGAGATTCATCTTCATGACCGGGCACGCGGCTTTGGTGGCTTCTACGAGCAACTCTTGACGGTTGATTAAACTTTCCGAAGTGTTTATGTGTACGCAAGTCATGTTGCTTGCCCCCGGTGGATAGTGGCCACATAGAATATCTCACCGATTGCTTTCTTTTTAGATGCACTACGTCTTTGAAGTGGCAGAAATGGTCCTTCAATACCTTGTTCGAACAAGGGAAAGAATTGAGCGCCTTACTGAGACATCTAGACAATGCATTCGTGATGATTCTATGTACAATTTTAGGATATGCGAGATTTATAGACAAGCCCGGATTTTAGCCCTCAGCCTCATAGGAGTTCGACTTGTGCTTGGGCTCGAACTTGAAGGTGTCAGGTGCAGGACCCAGGAACATTTCACTGTAATGTCGATGGGTGGTTAGTTAACGTGTAAAAGAATGGCCGAGGCGAAATAGTACTTACGTTATCTTGATCCAGTCTTTGTAGTTGCCACTGCCCATTAGCGTCTCCAACTCATTCCGGCCGCGCCAAGCAGGGGGTCGGTCCTGAATGTTGGGAGGAAGGTACTCCAACAGCCCGATTGGGACATAACGATAGGCAAAGCTCAACCATTCTAGCAGGAAGCGACGGGTTGTTCCAACGCCATGCTCATCAGAACCCCAGGCCTGTAGACCGTACTTGGCGAACTTTTCGATATAAGCCAGACGCTCAGTCGCGGACTTGTCCAAATATTGGCCGGTCTGAATTTCCTCGAAGATCCACGGCTTGATCAAAGCTCCACGGGCCACCATCACAGAGTCCACACCGGCATTATTTACGTGGTCATCGTAGTCGGCATGCGAGTAACAATCGCCATTTCCAATGAAGTAGGTCTTGCCACCATTGGGCATGTGGCGGGCATCCGGTTCACGAATGGTGTCGCTGAGTGCATCCTGCTTCTTGTTCAGGCGCTTGATGAGGGCTGCACATTCTGAGATGTATCCCCAGTCTGCCTGCCGGGTGTAGCGCTGCTGTCTACTACGTCCGTGCAGGGTAATAGCTGCGGCACCCGGGGGCCAAGGTCCAGAACGCTTGACTCGTATCCACCGAGAACCATACGCTCAACCAGCTTCTGGGCAGTAGGCTGGTTGTCCTTAGTTCCCATGCGGATCTTGACAGTAATCGGAATCTCCTGCGAGACAGTGTTCATGCCGCGAATCATCTTCTCCAATTTGGAGTGATGATCAAGAAGAGCTGAGCCAGCTCCATCACGGAATACAAGTTCAATGGGGCAACCGCAGTTCAAGTCAATAACACGCAGGTTGGGTGTAAATTTCGATAACACCTCAGTGGCCTTGAGAGCTTGCCAAGGCTTGTTAGCGGCAATTTGTGCGCCGAACTTGAAGTCCTTGGAGTTATCATAGCCCTGAACTATATTGTCACCTGGAATGACAGTTGGCGGTGCCATTTCCGACTCGTGCGCCTTCAACAAGGTCCATTCTGACTTTGAGCCTTGAATCAAAGGCATACTCATAGCCATCTCTGAGTATGTGAACTGTGCGCCCAGATCTCCACAGAGTCTTCGGAATGGCATGTTTCCTTGGGTCGTGAGAGGTGCCAGAACGGGTGTCTCTGGTCCAAAGTAAATGCGACGTTTCTCTGACGGCATGAAGGGAGGCTCAAGGAACTGAGCACGGTTTTCCTGCATGTCGATCTTCGCTTGTTCATCTGGTTCAACAAGCTCGCCCTTCTCGCGGGTGGTGGTTCGCTGGTGGATCGCCTTCTCCAATTCTGCAGCCACTTTGGTGGCCCATGTGGTGTAGGCATCAGCCCGAGGGGTCTCCTCGCGTTTTCTCGTAAGCGCAATTTTGTCTTGGTTTGAAATAATGTTGACAATTCCATCGGGTGTTGCATTGGCCACACGAGGCCGAGCTTTCTCCATACGCTCTGCGTCCTCCAGCAAGATCAACTCCTTCTTGCCATCTTCCGTTTCTCTCTCAGTTGAGTGTGAACCAACCATGCGACATTTCCAGCCAGAAGAACATCTTCCTAGCGCTTCGTAGACGGGGCAAATGTTGTTCAGGGTTGTAAGATCCTCGCGCTTATGGTCTTTCAGATAAACACGCAAATCGTGCTCAAATCGGCATTTGTCGCCGTACTGACACTCTCCAGCGGCAAACTCGTTGGCAAACATTCTCGTGCTGCAAAGGCCCTTCGCATCTTTAGATGTACCATAACTGCGATTGGTATTCTGGCCCTTCTTCTTCTTCCCCTTGTCCTTCTTTCCACCATCACGGTCATCACGAGGAGCTGCCTCGGCAGCATCGTCAGGGCTAGTCTCATCTGCGGGGCGAGGCTTCGGTGTGATTTGGATCCGATATCTGAATGACGAAGATTAGTATTTTGCGATCCTCGGGGAGGAGGCAGACATACTCTGCTTTAATGGGTGCCATTCCCCTGTCGCGCATATCTACAGGGGCGGGTTTGGACGGTTCATCCAATCGTGCCTTTTTGGCTGGAGGCTCGTCCACGCCCGTCGCGCCAGAGTCATTTGCGGCGTCGCGTTTCGGGACCTCCATGCCAGGCGCAGCAACGCTGGCCTCTGGGGCTTGAACATTTGTTGTTTCTGGCTCCATTGTATTTCAGGGAGGAGAGCGAGCCATTCAGTAAACTTCGCAATCACTGTCGGCAAGGAACGTTGGTCAAAATTTCGCGATGTGTTTGCACTGTTTGAATCAGACATTATTGGCTGTGATTGCGGGACCGTTTCCTATAATGGGCAAGCGCAAACTCAAATCCTACAGCCCCACTCATTGCCTCGATGTCCATGGAGATGATCCGACAGGATACGAAAGTTTGAACGCCATGGCTCGAGCTTCATCTAAATCGATAGAACCTATTTCTCGATCAATTTTGAGATTTGATTTACGCTGACTTTCTCTGTCGCAGATCTGCAATTAGGGACATCTGAATAAGAAATGATAAGTCGGGGGACATAAGATAAAGAGACTACTGTTTCTCTGGCCCATCCCTCATTTGAAACAAGTAAAGGGAGCGAGCTATGATTTGTATGAGATTACCAAATGCTGGTTGCTTAATTCCGACTTGCATGTTCAACCACAGCTGGCGCGAGGCAGTTTTGTTCGTGGGTTCAAACCCCAATCGACATTCTAGGCCCAAATCTACGAAAGCAGACATTCCCATGACGATGAAAGAGTCTATATTTTCTGCCACTTCGGTCTCTTATGTTTCTACCAGAGACGCAGCTCCGAGTCCCTTGTACATGGATTACCCTTTTCTTCTCAGTGGCATCAGACTAACACCAAATAAGACCGTTCGAGTTTGGTTTTCTCCCAATAGACTCCAAGTTTGACCGACACCAGAAACCAAGGGTCGTGATGTTGCAAGGCATTACCTCGCGTCATTTGGTGGTGCAGGGGGTCAACTGGCCTGCGCTATCGCTGAAGACCTGGGAATCAAGAGGGTTTTAGTTTAGTCCACAAAACTCTTTCTTCTATCCTCTCTGCCTATGGAATTGAATTGAGGAAGAGCGCGTATGTGCAAAAGGCATTCGATTAATCTACGGCCAAAATGATATACAGCGTCATGGAAATTCTCGCAAATATCGTTCGAAGCAATGAGTCCATGCAACCATTCAACAATATTCTGTTCAGAGTTCAGACACACCCCCCGCCCCCCGGCTTCCTAGACACGAGATATGATGGTATCGACGTTTGAGGACCCTCGGGAAGAATTTATCAAAGCTCATAATGAGCAGTTTGAATTCGTTCCTAGCAACTGTGCAGTGTATGAGCTAACTGTACTTAAAGTGTATACCTAAACAACGGCGACCGATCCCCCAGAAGCTGCAACTCCTCGGCCGTATACCTCTCATGAATCTCCTCCCTGCTCAGCTTCGTATTCCGCTTATTGATATACCAGAACCTCAATTCCAAAACCGCACTCGCCAAGACGCCTGCCACCGCAAAGGCAAACGAACTCCCAAACCCAGTGGGATACTTGGGCGCCTCACGCTCAAGGTAGATAAAAGATCCCACAAGCCCACCGCAATTGCCAATGCTAATCATAAACGCAATGCCCATGGCCTGCTTCCGCGCGCCTGCGAGATTGTTGGATGTCCACGCATTGGTACCCGGAATAATCGGGTACAGGCCGATACAGGCAAGGACGACTGCAAAATAGCACACTGGGATATTATTCTGGATATCATCGGCGAGAGTGTATAGGATGCAGAACGCAATAATCACCAAGGCCTGGCCAGTTATAATGATTGGCATACGCCATCGCAGTTTGTCTGCAATGACACTGAAGACGTACGCAGATATCGCGCCGGCGAAGTAGGGGGCATTGAGAGGAGCTGCGCGTTCGCAGAGGTATATCCCATATTCTTTATAATCTGGGGCATAGAGAATTTCAGACCGTAGTTTGGTACAGTGTTGGACCAGAAGTTAAGGACCTGTAGGTAGAGATGCCAGTCGGTAAGGACTTTAAAGAGCTCTTTCCAGTCAAACTTGTTAGGATTTTCGTCCACCACAATAAGTCCTCGCGTGGCCTGTTTACGCAGCGCCAGAAACCGGATCTCTTCAGGGTCAAGCCATCTACTAGAGAGCTCAGGGGTATCCGCTAGGCAGAAATAGCATAATCCTGCGAGAAGCACAGTTACAGCTCCTTCGATAATAAAGATCCATCTCCAGCCATTGTAGCCACCGATTCCGCGCATTTTAGCTAGGCCAAATGCCAGAAGCCCGGAGAATGCACCGGCCAATGCGCTTGCAGTATAGAAAATTGCTATCCTGCTTTGGACTTCATGGGGCTCATACCACTGGGTAATAACCCACACGGCGCCTGGGAAGAACCCTGATCTATAAACAGGTCAGACAGAAGCTTTCGCATTAGATTCTAACACAATATAGCGGCAGTCTTACTCGAAAATACCAAGGAGCACGCGAACCGCACAAAGTCCGGAAAAGTTCTGGACAACCCCTGTTAGGGTCACGATGATTCCCCACAGAAGCATCAAAATCGACAAATAAAGTGACGGCTTTTTGAATTTTGCGAGTAGGATATTGCTAGGAACCTCTAGTACCAAGCTTGTGTTAATATATTAAGCTATAATGGTATCGAGGGCACTGTCATACCGAATAGTACATAGGGGACAAAGAAAATCCCCAGGGCAACGTTATATTGAGTGCCTGACATATTCAAATCCGACAGCATGCCTTCAATCTTGGCATTTCCTATGGGGTGTTTGAGTTAAAATCAATATTGACGCGAGACCATGAGCAGGAGTGACACCTACCAATACTTGCCTTATCAATATAACAAACAAGGTAGAGAAACGCCAACATGGGACAGAGACGCCAATCGATCTACACCCACCCATGTTATGTCCGAGTTATTTCATATCAGACACATGGTCTAACTAACCTTCCGAACGCACTTGTTCCTCTTTTCATCTGTGAAGTTGGCGAGGAAATACGCGTCATCGCGACTCAACCCACTTTCCATATACGTCTCGAGACTTGGGCCAGCCTCCAGATTTTTCTCGGGGAGGCATCCTCCACATGTATGACACTGGACGGCTTGGAGGTAGGCATAGTGTGAATCTGCAATTGAGTAAATATAACCAGATTTCATCTTATAAAGAGTCTCAAGAGGTATTGGCCTTTATACTAGGATTCCCCTGGCGCCCAGACAGCCAAGACACCAACCCCGCGTCTATCTTCTCCAACTCCGCGAGCTATGACCATTTGCGGAGGAATCAGAGCCTGGCAGTGAGCTCACAGCCGAGCGCCAAGAAGCCTATATACAGCGGAATTAGGGAGAATTGGCAGAAATCAGCATACTGCCTTTATAATCATCTGACAGAAATATGCCTGTATGACAATGTATCGTATGTCTCGTACACGCGGTTACATGATTTTCTGGGTATTATCCCATGTAAATCCACGTATTCAACCTTGGTATTTGACATCATCCCCCCGCTACCACTATAGTAGCCGAGAAATAGCCAGATAGTCACCATAGCGTGAAATTTTGTACCATTTTCGGCCTTTTCACCAACTTACCCTACATACTATAGTGATTAGTGATATTACCTTAGAAACGTTTATATTTGTTGGGGGAACTTGCGGAAAGGTCTGCGCGAAAGGTCGCATTGTACACTACGCCCACTACTTAGTCGCAGGGCTCCGAAAGGAGTAAAGAATTGGACAAGGGGATAGCTAATATCCACTTTGAGCTAGGCAATCAACTACAGCCTTCATGAGGTTCCAAATAATAAAAAGGGGGGGTCCCAGTAACAATTCCCATCGTTAGGTCGAAGCAATGGACCCAAAACCCATCTTGGGTTGGGTCCGGGTTAGGGTGGCTTGTGCCGAAGTCTATGCCCCTATCTATACTCTTTGTACCCGGCCGATAATCGATTGAGCGGTATAGTCGACAGAGATTCCCTTCCTCCCACCAAGGTATGACTTTGCTAACTGGTAATATTTCTTACCAGCTTTGCGTAGTACCACTGTGATCGATTTCTGGAAGTGTGAGGGGTTCGTTCCGAGCTGTACGCAGACGTTATATATTCGTGAGATAGTGTCGAGGACCGTCAGGATCTCAATCAATTTATGCCATAACGAGTTTGGTATACCGTCCTCCCCCGGTGCCTTGTTTGGTGGTGATGATTTGACTGCTTGTGTGATCTCCTGGTATGTGATCTCTGGATTAGAGTGGGTTGTGCCGAAGTCTACCGGCCACACCATACGTGACAGTTGCAACTGGCTGCCCATGTGCCTTCCCACCTGGTAGGTTCCAATGTTAACCTTATATTTATGTTTATTTTATCTTCTGATTTGTTCTACGACTCCTACACTATCCCTTAGATACACACATTCGTAAAAAAAAAAAAAAAAAATAAGGATTAGTCAACACTAGCTATATACGGTTAGCAGACTTGAGTCCTAAGGTCTTTCTTCATTAGGACCCCTCTCCCTATCTTGTATGTACAATACAAAGTATTCTTGCATGTTATCCATCAGATCTTTTCTCCCATGGTTAACCCATTACGCAGTTACACCTAGTCCAATAATATCTACTAAATAATCTAGACAGTCCCTTATCTCTTATATTCATTCCCATTATATATCGAATAAACTAAACCAAGCCACCTTTCGTATTTTTATCTATAACCTCCCGTATCCCTTAACATCTACATTCAAAGCCATCTATTTCTTAGTTCAATAGGGCTTGTAGCTCAGTGGTACGAGCGCTCGCTTTGCATGCGAGAAGTCCGGTGTTCGATCCACCGCTAGTCCACATGTTTTTGTTCTCAAATCTTCTTGATACAGTTCTATCGCAAAAGTGTGTCAGTACGCCTGCACCCCATCACACACATATATATATCTCTCATGTAACTCAGTAAATTAGCTTACTAATTTTAAATAATTATCTACACCCCTGTTTACATAGTAAAAATATATAAAAGTATACATTATGTAGGCAGTTTGTAATAGTATTTAATTCAATTATTTAATACTTAGTATACCACCCAGTTACTACAATTACAGATTCTACTCTATACCCTATACTACAAACTAGACTGCGACATTGCCCGTCTATACCTAGGCACTAGGAAGTGTCCACGGCCCGTCGATGTTTTGAAATTTAATGCCCATTGCCCATCCTTGTGTAAAATTAATGCAAAATTACCCTATTAGGTCATATTATATACATTGTTACTAGCCAAGTCTTTGATTAGGAGTACATTTAAACGAGAATTCTAAGCATAGGGAAGAAAGGGAAACTGGAGTTCGGTCGGAGGACTAAAGCCATTTGGTAGGTCCCCCTCCGCTCCATAGGTCTCGCAGACAAATAAGATAAACCCCTCCTCCTCGCTTTATATGTCCTGATCTAGTAATTGTTAAACTGGCCTCAAGATCTGTGCCCAGCTTTCTGATCACATAAGACATATCCGCATCGATTCGGACCGACTTGGCGCCTCGACTGCCTCTAGTGGTGCAGGTACTTCGCCGGAAGGTGTAACTAGCCAAGGACTCGAGGAATGCAAAAGCAGCTTGGCTGCAACAACTGCCAAGCTGGAGAAGCACATGCAGGAAGTGATGGAACGGCTGCTTGCAAAATCGAAGAAGGCCGTCTCGTCCGAGGAAGAGTCTCGAGATCTGGAAAGGCTGCGCGACGAGTGGGAGACCGCGCGGCAGTGCTTGAACATCTGCTCCAAAGCCGACGATCACTGGAAGGAAAAAGTGAGTGTCATTGAAAATCATGGCTCGGGTGACGCTCTTCAGTTCATGGTTTCCGCCAACGGAAAGGTCCTCCACGGAAAGAATCGTGCGACTGGTTGGAGAACGAGGCAGGTGGGAGGCTACATGAGCGATGAATCCATTCAGCAGCTATCGCGGGATATTGTGACTCTTAATTTAAGCCACCTGGGACCCGAAGTGCCGAATTTGAAAAAGAACGCAGATGAGCCTTCGCCAAGTCAGGATGACACTGTGGAGCGCGAAATAACAACAGAATTCAGACAACGGTATGGACATGGGTTCAAGCTCAGTTCAGAGACTTCATCAGAGGTAACCGCCTCGTCTCCTGGACCGGATGGTGGAAGGGCATAGTTCCAATGGGTACTATAATCATTCAGCACTATTGCTTTTGAAATCGAAACAACAAGGGGCAGGTGCAGGGAGGCTCCAGAACATTCTTTATGCCTTTTTACGTGGTTTTAATTTATCTTATACAGCTAGTCCGAGCATCAGACAGAATCCAACAAACGCCTCGATGCTGATGTCTTGAGCATTTCAATGGATGGACGAAGTTGTGGTTTTCTGAAAGGCTGATTGGACACTGGTATTCCGTAGTTTGGAAACCGCGAACCCTTACTTAGCATTCTGACCTGATTGGAAAGTCTAGTACAGGGAGGATCGAAATCAGTTTCACCATTTGAACGCAGAGATTCTTTCTCGAACCTATTCTTGAAACCCACTATACCATTTCAAGCTACCCTACCCCTGACTCAGTTTCTTGGCAGTATTCTGATACAGCTATAGATTACAACTTAAAAATAGCTTCCGTAACAAGCCTGTATGGTCTCAACAGCTTCTAAAACATTGATCCTGCAAACGAGGCAAATAGAAGTGGTCCCACATTCATCTGCCGCCCTTGCTGTCTGCTTAGTGAGTACGGAGATGAAATGATTTGGGGGCGAAGGTCTGGGGCATGCTGGATCATAGGGAATGTACATGACTTGGCGATTTCAGGTTCTAGGGAGCTGGGTGGCCTCTCTCAAGTCGCCTCTGAAAACTGTGGACCTCGGAAAAAGGCGGTTAAACAGTTAATATATTATCCCTAAGCTATGTTAATCACCAACTGTGATCTGATTGTTCTCAAATTGTGTATTTGAGTTGCTGAGAGGCCTCTTTAAGTGATGAGGTTCAAACGTTTTGTCTGGAAAATATTGGCTGCATATAGTAATAGGGCTCTCTTCGATCTGGCTGTTTAGGTCGGGTCGACCCGTTCCTGGGAACGCCCCTCACTACCCGCCCCTATATGGGAGTATGATTGTCGATACGAAACCATTTAGGAAGCGGTGTGAGCGAGGAAAAAGCCGCAGATAATCTTTCTGGCTTAGCGCGCTAGTCATATGGTGAGGATATGCCCCTCTTCCAGCTCGTAGGAGTCCAACTGAGATTCTTGTTATGAACCATATTAGCCTTTTTTTGATATAAAAATAAAGCTAATTCTACTGAACGCATCCAAATTTCTATTAACTATTCACTTCGTGACTCTCTTCTAGAGTAGATGGGCCAAGACCTCCGGTCCCGCTAGAGAGAGTGTTTGGTTAATATATTGAGTACTATTTGGGTAGGCAGTATCCAATATGGCCGCGAACCCCTTATCTCAGCCAGAGCATTCAGTACCAGTACAAAGCGAGAATAATCCCGAAACATCCCTATGCCGAAAGCGACTACCGCACGATGCCTATACCATCGGATGGGTATGTGCTCTTCCAAAAGAACAGACCGCCGCCAGAGCCATGCTAGATGAAGAGCACGAACCTCTCCCGACCCCTCGTAATGATCATAATGTATATACCCTTAGCTCAGTATGCGGCTATAATGTCGTCATAGCCTGCTTACCCAATATAGGAACCAACCCTGCGGCGACCGTCGCGACCTCTTATGATAAATACGTTCTAGTCGATCAGGTTCGGACTTATGGTAGGTATTGGCGGTGGAATTCCGTTGAAGGTCAATCTGGGTGATGTGGTGGTGAGCCAACCTATTGCGGACTATTACTGGGTGGTACAATGGGATATGGGGAAGCAGGAGCGGGAAGGGCGGTTTGTCCCTAGAGGCTCGCTGAATCGACCTCCGAACGTATTACTCAATGTATCGAATCAGCTAAAAAGTAACTATAAGATATTCGGATCGAAGATAAATGAGTACCTAGACGATATGGAACGGAGATTCCCGCGACTAGCGCTGAGATATACTAGGTGCGAGCATTTGGAAGACCCTTCGTTGATATCGAAAAGGGAAGGTCGGGCTTCGACTAAGACTAGTTTTCTGTCTAACCTTTGGCAGGCGATTATTATAATGATTGTATATCTTTTATAGGCTATTAGGCTCGTAAATAAGGAGAGTAGGCGGCTACTAGAGAATGCAGAGGAAGCACGGACCCGAAGAGAAGTGAGGTTACATCATAGGCTGATTGTATCCGGGAATAAAGTGGTGAAGGATACCAAGTCTCGAGACTCCCTCGATAAAGTATATGGCGGGCACTTGTTGTGCATGGAGATGGAGGTAGCTGGGCTTATGAATGACTTCATATATATTGTTATTCGAGGTATTTGTGACTATGCGGACTTATGAAAAGAGAAAAGCTGGTAAGAATATGTAGTAGCTGTGGCCGCTGTATACTTAAAGGAACTTTTGGGATATGTATAGCCTAGTATTGTTAATATTAAGGAATTAGCGAAAGTTACGATGAAGAGGGTTAGTACTAGCTATCCGAATATATCGGCTGCGGGTGTCCGAAGTACTAGTAAATACCCGAGATAAAATAATGCTTGACCTTAGAATATATCCTAACTATAGAAAGTCAATAAATAGATCGAAAGTGCGTAGCGAACGATGGTTGTAATGAAAGCTACTACCGATTCTATTAAGACTGACCTTTATTCTTATGAGATTAAAAGGTGGCTTAATCCCCTGGACCTATCTACGAACGCGAACTACGTAAGGACGCTCTACTATAAGGGGATAGGCGCGTAGCTTCTAGTGGACCCTGTCTTTCGGTCGTAATATTTAGGGTCGCGTCGATATATATGGCTGTACGGGCTTGTGAGATGCGGAAAGACCGTTCTTAGTACCACCGTTCTTGATTATCTCTCCAGGCCGCCTCGTATAATAGCTATCAAGAGATTGTCAAACTGCTCTTGGACCAGGGAGCCGCCGTCAACGCGCAGGGCGGTTTCTACAGCAATGCTGTTCTGGCTGCTTTGTGAGAAGGCAACCAAGACATTATCAGGCTACTCTAAAGAAGGGGGCTATCACATAGTCTTCAAAGAAGACCGGCTCTAGAACTCCAACAAACTCTCTGAATCAATTCCCTCCTATGCACCCTGAACTTTCTGATTAACCCTTGTAACTCTCTCCTTAACCTCTACTATAGTATTCAGGTATCACATAACTTCAGCACTCATAACTCTTATGATTTGGTGAAACCTACGCATAGCTAGATTAATGCATGCCAATTTATCATCGAATACGGTGTCGAGAGGTACTAAAAAGAGATATTCTAGTCATAGCGGGTCACGTATCTCCGCAGTCTTGCATAGTGCCTTTAGATAGGGCTTGCCTTCGCTTCCTGGTAGGAAGGTAATATTTCTATATGCTTCTAGCAAAGACGCTACAGGACCTCGCAAGCTAGCACCGACAGCGAGACCCGATACGAAGGGCGGCACCAACAGGAGTCGCCTCCTTCCTCATTACCGGAGAGACCTTACACTCGATGTTCCGCCTTCCGACCCAGAACCATGGTTCGTATATCCCCCTGACAGATAATGCGGTAGGGACGCTTTAAGAGCAATTCCGAGGGACTTACTATCTAGTTGTCGACGAGAAGTCAATGATCAGTCTACGCCAACTATACTGGATTGACCAACGATGCCGCCAGATCTTTCCTGAGTCTCGGAACGTACCATTTGGAGGGCTCAATATCATCCTCGCCGGCGACTTCTACCAGCTTCCCCCGGTCTTCAACAAACCGCTCTATTACACTGGTAAGCTAGTGGAAGTTGAGGAACAGCAGGCTCACCACCTCTATTATAGGTTCTACTGGATCTCAGCCGTCATGGCTTCTCAGCAGGCCTATCGTACGTGGCGATATCCCGAGTATGATTCATCAACGGGCTACTGTTCGAGACTCCCTCCGATCTCGAGCGCTTTAAACCTAAGAATCACCAGGTATTCACCATTCGCGCCGCAGACCATGCTCGCCGGCAGAATCAGCATATCATGGGCCGACGGCAATCAGCTCCAGCTCCCGTCACCCCTCGAGTCACGTCTAGACCAATTGTTTCCTTACCGATCAGATCGCATACACGACATACAGAGCGCCTGTCAAGGCCAGTACAACCAATTCGTCTTAGAGATACACCAAGCCATACTCCAACATCATCATTGGGTCAAGAGTCTAGCATAGCGACACCCTCTCGGCCAGGTCGCCCAGTTTAGGAGAAAGTAGTTATTAACAGTTCTAGACTTCGGCACAACCCACTCTAACCCGGACCCAACCCAACTCAACCCAACCCAACCCAAAATGGGTTTTGGGTCCATTGCTTCGACCCAACGATGGGTTTTGGGTTATAGCTCATAACCCAAAACCCATTGGGTAACCCATTGGGGCCCCAATATAGTGTAAACAAAACAACCCAAAAAATTATATGGTTGAAATTCAAAGATTTGAATATATATATATCTAGCATAGTAACTCAATTTCAAAACAAAAACAAATTTATATAAAAAGCATTTTATACTATTAAAAAAGTATATTTAAAAATGCCAAGACTTGAATTTCATGAATTTTATGAATTTTTATGCAAAAATGGGTTCAAATGGGTTATTATTGGGTTATTGGGTTTTGGGTTGGGTTTTGGGTCGGACACTCCGACCCAAAATGGGTTCTGCCGAAGTCTAAACAGTTCCATACATCAAATCAGAATATAAGATACACACTCTATAGTATAAACCATAGATTGAACTAATTGTAATAATAAAGTTCTATTCGTATAGGGGTTAAACTTTATGCGCTAGCAGGATATAAGAATATACTGACTACCTTACACTCTTCGAATCAGCATCTATCTCCTCTTCAGATAGTTTATTACCCAAAGCTTTAAATAGTAATAATAATTCTATCCCTTATCGACAAGCTCTTCCATCTATTCAATACCACTACGCTTAACAATATATACAAGTCAATAATATTTAAGATAAGAAACTTTAGGGCTAGGGTAGAAGAGCTTTTATTAATAGATACGAGGTAGTACTGAGGAGAAGGCAGAGCAGTAGGAAAAGATTGAGCAAGCCATTGGCGAGCAGGAGACTCGGTCCATTGGCCTCGGAAGATTCGCTGAATCGCGGCGAGAGTCTCTCCCGCATTGTCAGCGAGCTCCTTAACTACAACAACCGCCTCATTAACCTTCCCCAGCAGAGTAATCATAGCCACAACAACCTCCACTACCCCCAGTATAACATCTTTCGCGCCGGCAAGAAAGGCGAGCGCATCCGCCTTAGAAATGGACACTGAAACGGGCATCAGGGCAGGTAGGACAGCGGGCAGGACAGCAGACACGGCGCAGGACAGGATAATTGCCAGCGCTTCGCGAAGCGCGGCAGGAACCGAGGAGGGAGGCAGCACGAACAACACAGCGCGCAGCGCGGAGGACAGGACGGAGGACAGGACGGAGGACAGCATCGCAGACATCGCGGGGACAGGGGTGGTCGCAAACGGGGACTCAAGATAAAAGATCCTTACAACATGGAAACAGAATTGTCGCTTAACATTATCTATCGGCTGGTCCACGAGAGTGGAGTACCACCGATTCGTTGCTGACCCTATATAATCAAAGTGGGGTATAGTAGTACATAACATAGGACTCCCCTAGATTCTGTTTCTCTTTGACAAGAGTTAGTCTTATCACGTTGAAGACAGTACAATCTGTTCCTCTCTCCTACCATCGTATCTTACCCGGTTGACAGGCCGTACACCTGAAAACAGTATACCTTTACATAGTATATCTTTACATTAAGTTAGTAAAGGTGTAAAACTGTAGCTAATAACCTAAAACCTATTTTGGGTTGGGCCTAGGCTAGAGTAGGTTGTGCTGAAGTCTATGCCGAAGACTAGGTAAATATAGAAGCACTTTCCCGATTAGGCTTAGTAGCACTTTAGAACAAACAAACAAAGCAAATATTGGAACAATCTTTGACATGTGACAAAGCATGTGATGGATATAGATCGTGACAATACTACAGAAATGAGTAAACAAAGAAACCAAAATGAAGTGAAAATAATTAAATAGATCATCAATAGAGAAAGGATCAAACAAAGAAACAAAGAACAGTAGTAAGTCAATATGAATTGAGGATAATAGAGAAATGATCAAACAAAGAAACAAAGAACAGTAGTAAGTCAATATGAATTGAGGATAATAGAGAAATGATCAAACAAAGAAACAAAGAGCAATAGTAAGTGAACAGGAGTCAATAGGAACCTAAGGCTTGATAGAAAGGTATTGGCCTACTTAAGCTCCCTTCGTCCCTTCCATCACCTCTTCTTTTCTCCTCCTTTTCTGTTTCTCTGTACCAAATAAAACCACAAGCTCAAGCTGCAGTTACTGCGTTGATACACCCCCCTTTTTTTTTTTTCCATTGAATGATGGCCCGCGGAGGTCGAGGTGGTCGCGGCGGTGGTCGCGGCGGCCGGGTGCATGGCGTACGTACCTAGCCCATGTTGACATGGGTGTCGCATTCTTGTTTGCCCAAGGACCTAAGAGGCCTTGGGCAAGATTGTGTCTTTGCAATCTAACTTATTATGTGGAAATAGAAGGAGACCCGCTCCTGCCACTTCTGTTTGAGAAGGGGGCATCTCAAGGGAAATTGTCCCACTGTGATGGCCATTCAAGGCCTCGTTCAGCTGGCTCGTGCCGTAAGTGCAAATCGGCCATGGTCGGTTGAAGAATATGCTAACATGATACTAGGATGGCACCTTGGTTGTACGTGATCATCGCAATCATTAATGTATGCTTTACTAACAAATATAGAACGGGTTCCTTCCCCCCGCCGCCGCCAACCGCCGCCGCGCCTCCCAACACCCCGCCCCCCCAACCTCGTGCCTGCCGCTGCCCCCGCACCCGCTGACGCCGCCCCCCCCGTGCCTGCTGCCGCCCCCGCCGCCCCCGCTGAGGCCGCCCCCGCCCCCCGCCGCCGCAGCCACTGTGGCTGCCGCTGCCCCCGCGCCCGCTGACGCCGCCCCCCCCGTGCCTGCTGCCGCCCCCGCCGCCCCCGCTGACGCCGCCCCCGGGCCCGCCGCCGCCGCTACTGTGGCCGTCGCTGCCCCCGCCCCCTCTGCCGCCGCCCCCGGGCCTGCTGCTCGCTCTCGCCGAAGCGTAAGTTATACGCTATCCATATCCCCTTATCATCTATCTTCCCTCATGAGTATACTGCTTGTGAGTGCGATGACTCGGCAACTCTGCTACTATGCACTTCCTCGGTTTGTCCTGGTTCTACGTACGCTCATATATGGTCCATAGAGGATGGGCATCTTCGTTAGCTCGTCTGCATTCTGCATACGACTCATGGTCCTTGGAGGATAAATATCCTTCGTCTGTTCGTCTGCGCTTTGCGTGCGGCTTACATATGGTCCATAGAGGATGCTCATCTTCAGTTTACCTGCGTTGTGCGTGTGGCTTATATATGGCCCGCTGGGCCATGGACATACCGAGGAATTGAATGCAACGTAGCGGGTCATCGCACTTATAGCAATAAAACTCTTTCCCATCCTCACGTTTGATTCTTACAGTAATTTTTAATGCACAATACTAACAATTCACGCAATTTAGTCCCTCTGAGAGTCTTATGGAATAATAATTTTCTACTTACCTACCCATTTAATGGGTCAGGTCGCTGATTGATAGTTTTTTAATATGAAGTTTCATTGTGCTCAAATCCTATTTACTGTAAACCAATAGTAGTCTTATATCAAAGACAATCAGAAGTTTTAAAATGAAGTATACGATTCGAATCTTCTTGAGGTCACCGGATTACCTAGACACATGTCATCAATGAAACCTCCAGAGGTCCTGGGGTAAGCCAAATGCGTCTTTGTGCACAAATTCAGCCTCGAGTCTCGTACACGTGCTGGCAGAAGCTGGCCTCTGACATTGTCAACTTCATGCGCATACCAACTTGATCATCTTCTAAAAGGACTTTACTAGGACCATGACACGGAGTTTAGCATCTTTCCCAACCCATGGACCTGAGTCCTTCCACGAAGGAGTAAACCTAGTTATTGGAGAGGCTTTTGTAGCGTACGATGGGGCTGCTAAGAAGAGAGTTTGCTGAGGTGGGCTTGCTGGTGGTAGTGGTTGAAGTTGAAGCTGGAGTGTAGACTGCGTAGCTTGACAACGTTGGCAGGATTCTGGAAGCACTCTTCTGAAGTTTGAGTAGCGTTTGATTGGTGAAGGGTTTTAAAGTGCTTTGATTTGGCGGAAGTGCTTCGTGGATTATGAATTGCGTCTGCATCGTAAAAGACTGCATCAGATATAAAGGTATGGAAGAAGCTGACGGGAATGTAGAAGCCACCTTGTAGAGAGGGAGTCGAATGTTGGTGATACCTTTTGTAGATGTTTGTGGGGGTGAACTGGCTAGTAAGCGCGTTGTCGAGAGAGGCGCTCCGGAGCTGTTGATGATGATAACGATGTTGATGGAGGAGCCGATAGAAGATGAAGCTGACAATGATGAGGACGTTGGATAGATATTTCAAGGGCTCATAACCTGTTACGAGGAGGGACAACGTGGTACACGTCGAAGTGCATGATGGAGACGTGAGGTTGATAGATTGTTGAAGAATTTAACCTATAGAGGCTAGGACCGGGACTAAGAAACCCGATTCTCAATCATCCGAATACGTGCTCATTCGGGCTTCTCCAACTTCGTCATTCCCAAGAACCGATCCTTTACCCAACAGTCCAGTTATCCACAACAATTTCCGCGACAACATAAGCAAGAACCAGATATAACAAACCCCCTAATTCTGAATCCAAAATTAAGCAATTCTCCTCTCGCCACTACAAGAAGACACCCCACATTTGAGAACAATACCACCTCAACCACTCAACTAGCGGGATCGCCCTGTCTTAACCTCCAATTAACACCACCGGTGACCCTATAACGCAGTACAACAACGTGCATGAAGGGTACAACTTGCAGGCAGGGTTACAATTTGTGGGGGATCACACAGCTCAATAGTCTGAGCTTCAATTTCTCAAATATTCAATCAATCTCACATTATACTACACATTTCCGTGTCTCTGCTGTAGAGCTCTCTCTTTAACACAGCCATTTCTAAAGTGAGAGATATCTGAATTTATAGCCAGGGTGTCAATCCTTATAGTCTAGAGATTGGCCCTCTTCAATAAATCTGATATTGCGCTATAGACCTCGATGTCTCCGCAGATTTCTATCTTTAACAAACGCATATATGAAGTGAACGGTGATTAAAACAGGACATATAAAGGCAACAGGTCGAGGGTCTAAAAAAAGGGGTAAGGGTGTGTGATGCATGCTCATGCTTGTGATCATTTTCCCCAACAGCCAAACTGCCATCCAGGTAGTTCAAAACCCACAGTGATCATCTGGCTAGAACGTGCTCGCTTGCATTTATGATTATGTATGGGCCATCCGATCGCGTAACTAAGCCCAGCAAAATCCAACAAGTGTCAGCATCAGGTGGATCCCTGTACACGTTGGTGTGGACGCAATGAATTTGCCGAGAAGCAAAAGGTGCAGCGCTTCTTGGTGCGGGGATGGGAGTTGCGACTAGGGCAGATAATCCGATAATCGGCCTTGCCGCAGCTGCTAAGAGAGCGGTACGCTAGCGAATCAGAGAGAGGTGAGAGAAGCAGTGGGGCCGGGAGACAACCTCCGCCCCGACGAAGCGCTTGGTATAGGCGCCAGATAAGAATACTCTTTGTCCATACAAGGGTCTGTCGAAGGCGCAATGTACAATCTTGATTCAAATGCGTATAATGCGAATTGGCCTTCGACACTTGTTCAAAATCAAGGCAGCTGAGACTAACTGGTGTAATTGTGACGAGGGCTCACAAACGTTAAGACATATCCTAATACAGTGTCCACGGTAATTTGTGCCGCGTGCAAAGTTGTGGGAATAGTTGTGGAATACCGAGATCAACGAGATGGATTACAACAATATCGTGTCAAATCCGTAAGCCACCCGCTACATGGTCAACTTTATACACCGAATAGGTCTCCTCCAGCACTTTCAATATATGACGGCGGAGGACGACGACGACGACGAACCGAGAGGCCTCACGGCAATAGATCTAGGTGTGGAAGACGATGGGTATTAGCCAATGATGAGAACGATGCTGCGACACGAGAACTCAGCCAAAGTCGACAAATATGTCAGTCAACTCGCCAATGTCACCATCAATTGCAACTGAGGCAGGGGAGAGAGCACACAGGGAGAGAGCACACAGGGAGAGAACACACACAGAGAGACAGAGAGACAGAGAGACAGAGAGACAGAGAGACAGAGAGACAGAGAGACAGAGAGACAGAGAGACAGAGAGACAGAGAGACAGAGAGACAGAGAGACAGAGAGACAGAGAGACAGAGAGACAGAGAGACAAGAGAGACAAGAGAGACAGAGAGACAGAGAGACAAGAGAGACAGAGAGACAGAGAGACAAGAGAGACAGAGAGACAAGAGAGACAAGAGAGACAAGAGAGACAGAGAGAGACAGAGAGACAGAGAGACAGAGAGACAGAGAGACAGAGAGACAGAGAGACAGAGAGACAGAGAGACAAGAGAGACAGAGAGACAGAGAGACAGAGAGAGACAGAGAGACAGAGAGACAGAGAGACAGAGAGACAAGAGAGACAAGAGAGACAGAGAGACAGAGAGACAAGAGAGACAGAGAGACAGAGAGACAAGAGAGACAAGAGAGACAAGAGAGACAGAGAGAGACAGAGAGACAGAGAGACAGAGAGACAGAGAGACAGAGAGACAGAGAGACAGAGAGACAGAGAGACAAGAGAGACAGAGAGACAGAGAGACAGAGAGAGACAGAGAGACAGAGAGACAAGAGAGACAGAGAGACAGAGAGAGATCCCACTCGGCGTTTGGCTTCGATATCTTGCTTCAGCTGGATAAAGCGCCTGCATAATCATACGCAACCAGTTAGGCTGCAACGGGTTAATTGAACTTTGATTGATTGATTGATTGATTGAGTGAGTGATTGAGTGATTGATTGATGCTCACGCTTGTAGGTATCACAGTAAGGCTGCCTTGGAGCATAGATAAGCCTCGGTGGCGCGCCTTCCCTGGCGACAAAAAGAAGGAAACAAAACAAAGACAGCCTACTTCCTTTCCCTTCTTCTCTTCTCCTCCCCTTAGCTTTTCCAACTCCTCCGCCATCCACCAGTTTGACTCGTGTCAACACACTATACGTCAGGATGGAAGATATCACTCCTACTGAACCAAAAGGAACCCCCACAGGGCCTTGCATTGTCTTTATTGGCCGCAGCAGCGCAGCACCCCAGCACAGTGTGAAACGTGACTGGCTACTCGAGACTCTTCACTGGGTCGAGCAGATTCATATGCAGGAATATGGCAGTCTTGACAGTCGTTCTGTGGACTATATTCCTTTCATCCAAAGTTCAAACCGCCCACTACCACTAGGTGGTGAGGTAATGACAAAGCTTTCTGCCGTTTTTCAGAAAGCACGTGCAAATGCTGGCTGCGGCGTAATTCTCGTGATCTCTGGCTGGGATGGATTGACCACAAATGATGGGAGCCTAGCAATCCTTTACTTGAAGTCCGAGGGAATCGATGTTACTCTTCGGTTTTATGTCGAGGAGTCTGACAGCAAAATTCGGCATTTCCGCGATGTCAAATTTCAGGATGCATACCGGGCCTTAAATGAGGATATTATGCTCAACGATGGGGATAGTTCTCTTAAGGCCTTTTGCGAGAGCTATAGAGGCATCCAAGCTAACAAGCACGCACAGGCTCAGGTGAAGAAGGAGCTGAATGAGCTCTCCTTCCGCCGAAATTGTTTCCCCCGGCCAGAAAATTTCGCTAGGTGGGCCTGCACTACGCCTGGTTGCGGTAAAGTTTACAAGAGTCTTGTAGACCTCACAAGTCATCGCGGGAAAAGCCACCGAGTGTGGAGTGATGAAACCAAAGCTAACTGGCTTATATGTTCATTCTGTCAAGAAGAATTCTCCGAACCTTGGAGTCGGGACAGGCACCTCAAGATCAACTGCCCCAAGAACCCCGAAAGCGAGAAGAACAAACCGGCATCGAAGCCTCGGAAGAAGCGAGGAACCATGGTACGAGTGGCAGGCGTCGAGGACCAGCCTGAGGGATCAGACAATGGGTTGAAGCCCTATCTGAGTATTGACCCTGCTGATTTTCATAAGGCGCCTCGCATCGACCCGGAAAATCCCATAATTTACCGAGGGGAAGTATTCTGCCGGCATCCAGATTGTTCCTCAAAGAAGGTGACTCGATATACTCAGAAGAGTATTGTCCGCAAGCATTACCGGAAGGAGCACGGTATGGAGTATCGTCAATTCAGCCGGACACTTGGAACTTTCGATGAGCAGCCCCATATCGATGGGCTGCAATGGATTTCAATCTGTGTGCAACGTGGCCAGGAGCAAGCTGGCACTGCACCTGTTCCTCGGAAATGGTGAAGAGCATTTCTGAGTATAAAGCTAAGTCTCGGTTTCTGTTTCTCTTCGTTTCTCTTGCATTTTCTGGGCTTGACTTTGATGACGGGAAAAAAAAATCAAAAAAAAACATCAAAGCTACGGGGAAAAAAATCTGTCGTTAGATTTATTCGATGTATACACTAACATGTATTTTTAATAGTGGGGTGAATAGTTGTGCTAACCCTTACCTTATTTTTAGCGCCGCCGTCGAAAGTCTGACGAGGAAACTCCCAGACTACGGTGGCCCCCCAGCGATAAGCTCACACCTCAACGTGGTGCTGGGGTCCAGTAATCCTGATATCGGGATGAAGCCAAGATGAGCCAGAGCGACAGTCTATACCCAATTCAACTACCGTTTATCCAGCAGGAATCGAATCGGTTAAACCACCCTCGCAGTTGCCACTGTACTAATAGCAGGCCAGTCAGCGGAAGCGCTTGTGTGTGCATCATGAGATTGGCTCGGATATTCTTTCATCGCGTTTTATCAGGGATTGGTCTCTCGTATGCCAGCAGAGTGCTTGCTCGGAACGCAGTCACACTTCATACAGAACTTCCCCAGCGTCAAGGATCACCGCGGGGGAGATTATGAGCATATATATGAGGAGGAAATCGTGTGTGACGCTATGAATACAGAAGCCAGTGTTTCCGAGCACCTTCGTCAAGGGGAACATCCATTATCCTGACCTCCATATTCTGGTTGCGCGTCGCCTAGGGTAGGCGGAATGAGACTGGATATATGCCGGAGTCATACTTTTGCATTTTTGCCTGAGTCAGAGGTCATTGACCTGACATCTACAACAACCGATCGTGAGATATTCTTTGACACGGAAGAGCATTCCACTCCATACGATGATGGGGACATGGATATGGCAGACGTCTGTGGGGTGACCATTTGGACTTGCCAAGATCCCTCCGCAGATAGGACAGTCAACTTCATGCCAGAGGGGGAGGTTCCGGGGCCATTGTGCCCGTGAGCGTGAGCACGAACAACACCACGGTTACCGACGAAGAGATCAAAGGGAGGTGAACCAGGTGAGTGGTTCATTAGGAAACCAAGAGGATAAACGGGAAACCGTATATGCATGGGCTGCGACGCTTCTGGCTCCATGATAATAACCCCTGCATCCATCTATATGTGTTCTTTCATCCTACGCTAAAAACGTGCGTGTTAACATGGACATGACTTCATTGATCGTTTATGTAGATATCTGATTCCCTGAAGGACATTGAGCTATGTATTACCGCCAGTGTGCTGGTTCAAATCTGCCTGTAGTAGGTTTGAAAATATGTTCCTTTTTTATATACATCATAAAAGACCCAAATGAGCACGGATTTGGATGATATGACATCGGAAGAGGAAGCACCATTGTGCCACTGATAAATAGTAAGATTACTGATAGCTCTAGGGAAGAGGAGGTATCGGGCAGAAATTGAAATGTGTGAGAGGCCATATCTCAGCAAATTCAGTATAAGCGGTGCGCCACTTGATATAACATAACCTAGCGCGAAGTAAATATAGTAGCGCTGTTACTGTCGTACTAAAGATTGACCCACCCGTCAAAGCTCTCGAGGCCGGTTTTATAGGTAGGAGAGGAGGTGACGAGACCCGTGAGTTTACCCGTTGAATGATGGGGGTTCCGAAGCCGGTTTAGTGTGCTTTCTACCGAGGAGCTCGAAAAGGTAAGGGTCGCGAGAATTAAGAGAATAATTAAGTATAAGGGGTTACGATAAGAAGTTGTTTTTACCGCCGAGGGTCGGGGTAAGCTCTGTGGGCTGTGGTTCTGCGAAGTTGTAAAGCTGTTGGTATTGGTGTCGAAAGGCATATTGATATGTGAAATACGGGTAATATTGAGCCGCGTTGAGAAGTTAGTTATTGAAATTGATAAGCGCGTTGACGGAGAGGTACTAAGATGAGATAGTGGCCGTCGATAGAGGGGCGCGTGGTTAGACCTTTGCTAGTGGGATAATTGCGTAGGTGGGTGGTGGCTTGGTCGGTTGGCGTGTCGACGAAGAGAGGCAGTCGCTGGTCGATTCTAGATAAAGAAGAAGATTGGGTAGATCTTTTGAGGACTCATAACCCGTTAAATATTCTTGTGAAGTTGATGCCGAATTTCAGATGTGGATTTTTCTTTCTTCACGTATCTACCAACGTGAAGATCTCCGATAATGATCTACTGCAAGGGATAGTTGAAATATTTCCTAGTTATAGACATGTGTCAGATTTCTTAATCTCTGTAACTTAGCTTTTACAACTCTCAACTCAATCCATCTCGTATTTTACAATGTACTTTGACGTAGTCCCCTCCAACGCTCATGAGGCTCCCGTGCACCGCAAAGCAAGTGAGGCTTGATCTATTCCTGGCTGTGCATTTTATCTGGCAAGTACATTGCTAGTGTGCACGTTCTAAGTTCGTCTAAGTTCTGCGTGCGGCTCGCATATGATTTGCCGGGCCGTAGGCATACCCAGTGATTGTATACAGAGCAGCAGGGCATGGTTTGATACATTCGCGATCGTAGTCACATTAAATTATGATAGGTCGTTGTTTTTAAGTGAAAAAAACAAACAGAGAATTTCGGAGTTTAAATGCCGAATTTGCTGAGACGTGCGGTGCTTCGCATATTTCAACTTCCACACAACTCCTCTTCCCTAAAGCTGTCAGTAATTCTATTTGTTGGGAGGAACTACTACGTGGTACGTATCGATGTGCGTGGTAGACACCACTGCCGTATTTCCGCCCGAGGCAGAATTGTCCGGTACCACCGAGTCCGATAGACCGATCTAGTCATCCTTATGTGCCTTGGAGTCTTAGGTGATGCGGCGAGATTAAGAAAGGGATGACCCACCCCCTCATAAAGGTCCAGATCGACTTGATTAACGGAGATGAAATGAATTCCTTTTTAACGATTCACTAAATTGCGAATCTTCTTCAAAATCAGGGGTTGTGGTTGTAGGTCTTAGATTACGCCTTATATTAAAGCCAAGTGGATACAGTGAAAATCTATTATTTTCCTTTGGAAGTATGCTAATATGATACTTTAGGATGGCACGTCGGGTGTATGTACAGCATGATGATCCCTCGTCATACGCCTACTCTTATGAGTATACTGCTCGAGGGTGCCATTATACGTCAGTGTGCACTTTTAAGGTTTGAGGTTTATGTTTTAGGCTTATGGTTTATGCTTAGCCAAAGTGTGGGAAACTGGAATTTTCTAGGATGGCTGAACATTCGTTAGGATATGTCTGTCTAAAGTTATCATTGTGTTATTTATTTATTTGCACTAATAAAGTGCGTTCCATCTAATAGGGATTGCCTGATTCTGCTCTCACGATATGTCTCAGCGTGTGATGGTAGTCGGCTATATAAAAAGGGGTTTGGCATTGAGTATGTTAATATATTGTAGGTAGTGATTTGGTGAGGTATAAGGGTAATTTTAGACGCCGGGAAGTTTATATAGTTGATGCTTGAGGGGTAGGTACCATTTTGCTTGGATATACCTATGAACCATACTGGATATATACTGGGATATGTACTACATATACAAGGCCAGCTTGGAAACTGCACCTTAATTGAAATGTTAAAAGAGACGCTGGTCGATGATAACGTGAATGGAAAGGTTAAACAGAACCCCCGACGGCTCATGATATGTCTAGAAAGGGATGTTGAATTGCTGCACAAGGAGGCACAGTCCCCTCGTGAGAATCTACTTTATATTGAATATCAAGTGGAGTTAGGGCGAGTCTGCAATCTCTGACTTCAAGCTAAGCGTATTCAATGGCAGATATATTCTACCCAATTTGATATGACCTTTAGTGGTATGCACTTACCCAATTATTCTACCTCTGATGATGGCTGGAGCACAATCGGAGAGATGCTGCGAAATAACGAAGGGTGTATCGCTAATCCCGTGCCCACTTAAAGGCTGACCAACGTAAAAGACGGGTCTGTCGCGTTTACACGCCCTTAGCATGATTACAACAATATTGAACATGCAAACGGCAGCCATTAAGACTTGACGATTAAATCGCGGGTTGGGGCGGTAAAACTTAAGTTACTCCAAGACAGGCGCCACCCTAGTCTAAGCTACAGATTTTGGTTAGTGAGGGATTTAGTGACGGAGAGATAAAACACACCAGGAGTTACATTGAAGACATACAAATGTCCACCATATGGGCCTGAATAGCATCGGCATCCTGATTTGCAAGAGCAAATCGCGCAGCTAATGCAGGAAGGGCAATTCCGTATGGTTCAAATGGTTCAACATGAAAATATCCCCTGTGGCGGCTTGATCATAGCCAAACGTAACCAAGCCTGCAGCTGTGACGACGACGATGATGATAAATTAGAGTCCTTAATTGAAAAATTCGGAGGGGAGAGGCTGATCTTGATTCGAATCGAGAGTAAACAGCATTGTTGCTTTGAGTAAACCGCACGATGACCTTGTTCGATAAAGTAGGGCCTCAATAAGGAACCACGAGGATGAGAAATGAGATAGCATTTCAAAGTCCGAGAAGGCCAGATTGGGGGTAGATCTAGTCTGGTTTCATAGGCATGATCAGAAGTTCAGCTTTAGCCAAAAGAAGATAAGAGGGCTTCAAATCCCAGCTATGGTACTTCAACTGAGGCGATCCAGGACTCTCCGAGAATGGGAACGACAGTGGGAATAAATGCTTTGTTGGGGCGCCAAGGTGCTAACCCCGCGTTGCTCATCACCAGTGGCTTTCGCACGAGTGGTTCTACGATTTATGAAAGATTCTCTAACACTGAGGTTAATAGGATTTATTGAAAATTGAAAACTAGTCTCGTCCTGAAGTGTTTTCCCTAAAGGTTCAGCGCCCCGAGTTGCTGTCCTCCAAAGTTGTGCAAGTTTCGAACCGCGTGGCTCTTCACGATTCAAGAGGGAAAGCCTGAGCACAGGTGGGAGCATGGGCGTAGAGATGACAGAATCACCGGGGGCTAGAGCGCCCGAAGCCACATATGTAATTCCTTGGGAGCTAGTGGCCTAAGTTGACCTAGGATTACAGGTGGGCGGGCGGAGCCGCGGGATGGGGGATCAAAACTAGTCTTGTACATACGTATTACCAAGGTGTCACTAAATTTAGGATGTTGGTGAGGTAGAACTTACGTTGCGACGGGAGGGCGCGCGAGTAGGCTCAGTTAGGAAAGCCTGAGTGAGCACAAGTATAAGAGGATAGTAGAAGCACCGGGGACCCGAGCACCCGAAGCCGTAGCACTGGAGGCGAGATTGGAGGCGGTGGGGATGACTATATTGGCGGGAGACTTTGATAGTCGCTCCCATAGTACCGATGAGAGCACGTTCCCTGGGAATGTGGATGTCACGAATCCTGAAGCAAGCAAAGACAATCAGTCTCTGAAGGGCCGGGCAGCACCGGAAGATGCACTGTGTAAAACAGTCGTCCACGATCGTGCTAGATCAAATGTTAAAATATTTGAGGTATGGATACGTGTTGCCTTCTGTGAAAACCTGTTCGAACGCTTTATATGAAACATGACGACATGACGCGATGTTTTTAAGTCCCGGATTTTTGATCTCAAATGTGGTTGGTCTGTAGGTGGCGAGGCTGGTGGCAGTAGTAGCATGTGCGAGTTTCCTCCTATTCTTATATAATCAATCAGCTCACGAAGATAAACTTGTCCAATGCTCCCACAGCTATGGCGAAGTAAGACACATATATCAATAGGGGATGGGTACGTACACCAACGCTGTGGCTGGCACCATCTGAAGAAGAGTAGACAGTGAAGAAGAGGGGAGTGAAACACCACAAAATCTCTGTTTCGAGATTGGAAGGAAACCGAGGATAGAGCATGGCCGAGGATGAGCCTCCAATGAACTGGTGGGGAAATAGTGTTGTCAGATTGGGAGAACAGAGATGGATGGCGATTTTCTTGGTTTTTGCCGGCCATGTCGGTCAATGGTCGCTGCGCATTCGGCGATGGTAAATATGCGTCATCAAGCTCGTGAATTGAGCGTTTTCGAGAACCGGATGAAGGTGATGCGGGAAAGGTCGGAGCCGACTGCATTTGCGGTAGAGATTCGCTTGGTCCCGTGCCGTCCAATATGAATGGAAGGAGCTAGCGAAGAACTTGA